TAAGTCAGTTTTAGTCAAATCACTACATTATTTAATTTATTTATGGCTTGCTAGTGGATATTTACCGAAAATTTGGAAAAGTTCTTATATTACTCCTATTTATAAATCTAGTAATAAAAGTAACATTCGGTAGCCATTTTTACCGCGAAGACAAAAAAAGTAAAAAATTTTTTAACACTTTCAAAAATTAAGTTAAAGTTAAAGAAATCAGTTCGGTGGGAGCTGAGAAAACAGACACAAAAAAAAAAACATAGTAAAATTAACACCTTCTAAGCTTCTCATCGAAGCTAAAATAAATTAAGTGTATCTTTATGTTTTTTTAAATACATTTTTGCGAACATATTTAAAATGTTTTTTAAATACTTATTATGTGACAATATTTGTATCTCTAATTAAGTACAATTTTCAACGTATTTTTTACATCATTGTTAGTTGAACAGAAATAGTTTAAATCGATAAAATATGTAAAAATAAATAAATAATAATAATAATAAATAATAAATAATAAATAAAAATAAATTGTAACAAAAAACTATTATTTTATAACTTTTTATGAATATGATTTTTTGATCCTTTGATTCGTCTTTATAAATGAATGTTATTTACTTTTGCACTCTCGTTGTGACACAAAGACAAGAATTTTCTTTACTAGGTATGATGAAATTTCTAAAGTATATTTAATAATTTAGCTCTTTTTTTTTTTTTGATGATATTATTTCGTTTTTGGTTTAAGCAAGCAAAATACATAATTTTCATGAGCTATTAAAAAATCAAAACAGGCAACTGCCCACTCCCTCGCCCTCAAATGACTTTTCTGATCGCTTTTTTTCGTTTAATGATACACTAGCAATGTCGTGTATTTAGATTAGATTTATAAACAAATTGATCAAAGTTGCGAATTTCGGACAAGTGGTCAGCTGACTCGTGTCATACAAGTATTATCGTAAATAAATTATATTGATATCTGTCGACATTATTTTCTACCTTAGACACATTAAAAAAATAACCCTCATTATAAATATTTTGTTTGATAATCAAAGAAGTCGCAGTGCCTATTTAATCTGATTAAAGTCGAATGCGTAGGGGAAGGGTTAACCTATAGTTATATACTTTGATCAATAATGCGGAAATTTTTATTTTTTTTTAATTATTCTTTTCTGTAAAATAAAAACAAAAATGTCATTAATTTAAATGTCATTCCGTTTCCATTGTATGAATGGTGTTATTCTTAACAGAAAACTATTGATCGGAAGCCGAGCAACAAAAGTCATAGTACAAGCTGCATGTACAGTCTTACCTATTATTTTAGATTCTATTTATATGTATGTGTCAATAAACTAATTTTTAAAAAGTAATTTTTGTTTTTGGTATACTTAAGTTGTGGACTGAATTTTTGTTGAATCACAAACAATGACAATGATTGTGGATGGTGTTAAGCCGGAGGCGCACAGTAAAACGGCCACATCGATTTCGTTGTTTTTGGATAAACGGAAGATTTTCAATCCATACACAAGTATTTAATCACGTCAAGCGTGATAGTTAATTTGAAATAGAAATAAACACACGCCTTGTGATTACAGTGGAATATTTAAAAACTGGAGTTTCATAAGTCAACGCATTACTCACAAATGTTGTTAAGTAATTAAAAAAAAACAGAGGTTAAAAATGCTATTGATACTTAAATTTACGCCAACTCGAGCCGTCAAAATAAATTTGTGACATTGAATTGAACCCCCTATTATTGGTCGGGGTTAGAATAGACCATCGGTTGTTCCTGCCTGTCGTAAAAAGCGACTGAAAGGGACTTGTAGTAGGGCAGCAGCTACTACAATATTGGGTGTAGGTGCAGGTAACCTAGAATGGTAGAAACAGCTACACACCAAACAGCAGCCAGCAGATACGGGAACTGTATAACTGGTGGCTGCACTGCGATACGGAAGGCAAGGGGAGACCACCGTATAAATCATCCCAAGAAATAGCAATAACATGAAATCTTCTAAAGTAAAATATTCCGGAGATAAAATAGTCCCCCGATCGGATCTCCGGGTGGGGACTACTGGAGAAGAAGGAAATGTTAAGAATTGGAGAAGAATAGCTACTTGGAACGTTAGAACTATGTTGCAATGCGGAAAACTAGAAAACTTGAAAATAGAAATGGAAAGAATGAAGATTGATATCCTTGGCCTATCAGAAATGAGATGGCCAAGAGCTGGAGATCTATGGAGTGGGGAATATAGGTTGATACACACAGGAACAGCGGAAAATAACCCAGGAATTGGAGGGGTAGGCATAATAATGAGTAAGGCTATTGGGATAAAAGTTAAAGGATTTGTACAGTACAATGAAAGAATAATATTAGTCAAAATCGAAACGAAACCTAAGGATACAATCATAGTCCAAGTTTACATGCCTACTTCTAATAGCAGTGAGAAGGAAATGGAAGAAGTCTACGAAGGAATAGAAAAAGTCATTGAAAAAGTCAAAGGAGATGAAAATCTTATCATTATGGGTGATTGGAACGCTGTAGTAGGAAAAGAAAGCCTAGGGCACATAATAGGAAATTATGGTCTAGGAAACCGAAATGAAAGAGGAGACAGATTAATAGATTTCTGTTCAAAACACAAATTATTAATAACAAATACCTACTTCAATCACCATCCAAGAAGAAGATATACATGGAAAATGCCGGGAGACATAGGTAGATATCAAATAGATTATATTATGGTCAAGGAGAGATTTAGAAACCAAGTAAAAGACTGCAGAAGCTACCCAGGAGCAGACATAGATAGTGACCATAACTTATTAATGATGAAAAGTAACCTAAAGCTCAAGAAAATAGTATCAACAAGAAAAAATGATCGATGGCAAATAAATAAATTAAAAGAAGAAAAGGCAAATGATAAGTTTAAAGAACTTACGAACAATATAAATATAAATGAGAGAACCGATATAAACTATAGGTGGGGTATTATAAAGAGCACAGTGACAGAAGCAGCATCAAAAACTCTGAAAGAAAATAAAAAGACAGTACCTAGGAAAGAATGGATAACAACAGAGATAGCAAGTATGATAGAAGAAAGAAGAAAGCTTAAGAATGGAACTACTCTTGAAAGTCAGCGGAAATACAGAGAACTAAGAAATCGTGTAATACGAAAGTCAAAAGAAGCAAAGGAAATATTTTTAGAGGAAAAGTGCAAAGAAATAGAGATACAAATGAGGAATGGTAGCAGAGATGCAGCGTATAAATCAGTTAAAAATTTTTTTACCGATTATAAACCAAAAAGGGGGGCAATAGAGGATAACAACGGAGTAATTATTTACGAGGACAAACATAAAGGTAACATATGGAAGAAGTATCTAGAACAGCTATATGAGGGACCAGAACTCACGGGACAAGAAATAGAGCATGAAGAAGTAATGGATAATAACTCAAATTATAGTGTACTGAGAGAAGAATTTGATAAAGCACTTAGAGATCTAAAAAAGAAGAAGGCTGCAGGAATTGACGAAATCCAAGCAGAACTTTGGAAAGAATCTGGCGAAAACATGCGCAGTGAGCTTTTTAAACTCATAAAGGAGATATTTAACTCAGGAAAACTTCCTGTAGACTTTACTAAGTGTAAGATTATTCCTATTCCGAAAAAAGCAACCGCAAACAAATGTGATCAGTACCGTACAATTAGCTTGCTGACACATGTGTCAAAAATACTGACAATAATTATGTCAAGAAGAATGGAATATAAGATCGAAGCCATATTGTCAGAAGACCAGTTTGGATTCAGAAAAAACATGGGTACAAGGGAAGCAATACTGGCTTTAAGAATAATTATCGAGAAAAGAATTAGAAAAGATAAGCCTACATACATAGCTTTTGTGGATATAGAAAAAGCGTTCGACAATGTCAACTGGGCAATAATGTTCAAGATGCTTAAAAAAATAGGTATAGAATACACTGAAAGGAGACTACTCTTTAATCTATACCAGAAGGAAACAGCTGTTATACGATTTGGCGAAACTGAGGAAGAAGCACGCATAAGAAAAGGAGTAAGGCAGGGTTGTACTCTCTCACCTAGCATATTCAATGCATACATCCAGGAGGCAATTAACATAATAAGAGAGAAAATACATTTGGGTATAAAGATAAATGGCAGGAAAATCGATATGCTACGGTTCGCAGACGATATAGCAGTCATAGCTGAAAATGAAGAAGATTTGCAAAGGATGCTAAGGTGTATGGAAGAAACTCTGCTCAATGAACTGAGCATGAAAATAAATACGAAAAAGACCAAAGTTCTCGTATGCAGCAGGAGCAATAATATTACGACAAGAATACATCTGCAAAATAACCAAGAAATAAAGCAAGTAGAAGAGTTCGCATACTTGGGAAGCATAGTAAGTAAGGATGGCAGAAGTAAAAAAGAAATAGTAAAGCGAATATGCCAAGCTAAGATAGCATTTAACAAAAAGAGAGGACTTTTTACTTCAAAAAATATTAGCATACGTACCAGAATATATCTCCTGAAGACATACGTATGGAGTATAATGCTGTATGGCAGTGAGACGTGGACGATTGCCAAAGAAGAGCGAAGAAGAATAGAAGCTTTCGAGATGTGGTGTTTCAGAAGAATGCTCAAAATAAGTTGGACGGGCATGGTAACAAACGAGGAAGTATTAGAAAGAATGTCCGAGAGAAGAACTTTATGGAGCAGTATCAAGAAAAGGAGAAATGAATGGATTGGACATGTATTGAGACATGGTGGGTTGCTAGGATTGATTATAGAAGGCTGTGTGGAAGGAAAAAATGCTAGAGGAAGACCACGAATGGAATATATGCAACAAATAATAGAGGACCAAGGATGTACTTCTTATGAAGAGACAAAGAGGAAAGCAAGTAACAGGGAAGAGTGGAGAATTGCTACAAACCAATCTCAGGATTGAATACTGAAGAAGATTGAATTGAACTGGTTAGAAGTTTAATTAATGTGAAATTTACAACTAACCTGGAATACCAAATCCACGTGAGCAGCTACCGCCGTGCCGTCTTTTAGCCACGGCTCGGCAAATTTACCCATTAGTTCATAAACAGCAGTTACCACACGTGTCATCTCATCTCGACATATATGCCCATCACCATCTAAATCATACAGTGTAAATGCCCATCTGAGTTTATCGTCGACTGTTCCTCGAGATAATGTCCAAAGGCCTTGCACCATATCCTAAAAATAAATAAATTTAAGGTTAATAACATGTTTATTTAGTTTATTAGAATTTTTAAAAACCATGGACAGCAAGGTATATACGCAAATTTTTAAAAGAAATTTTCGAAAATATTAAAAATTATTAGTTATAATTGATTTAAAAAAATAAAACAAATTACAAATTTCAATATATTCTTTGATATGTTTTAGCAATGTAACTTAACAAACTAGAACTAGGTTATCTCAAAATTAAAATATGTGTAAATTTTTCCAATTAAATTTTTAATGTAAAATAAAAAAAACTGCAGGGAAACTCACTCCGAAAGAAGTCGCAAAGTTCTGTATACATAAAAAACCCTGCACAGGGGGGACGAGGCATAGTTGGATCAGATATAATTATATCAGACAGTTATTTAAATCACTATCATAAAAATCGCTTCGATGCCAATCTTTAGATTTATAACCTTATTTTAATTTGTAAACACGTTTTATGTTCTGAAGTCTACTATAATATTATTTAAAGTAACATTTTTATTATAATTATATAATGGTAGTCCTAATAATTCCAATAAACTTCAAGCTATAAAATGTATGAACGTAAAATTTGTCATTTAACAGTGTGTAAATATTGGTAAGAGAAACTAAAATCTTGCCTCAATTTATCTTAAGTTGAACTCTATAAAGCGTCACAAAAAATCATGTTAATGTTAAAAATTAGTATTAAGATAATTTTATGATTTATTTACATTCTTTTGATGATTTTATCACACTGAACACTGAAATTTAACTTAATATTTTATTGTTTTGAGAAGAATATTGTAAAAGAGAAAGCTATATTTTTTGGTATTAAGAATATACTATAAAAAAACCCAGCACAGTGGGGTCGCGGCATAGTGGGGATGTTGCATAGTTGGGTCCAGTATAGATTTAATCTGACAGTGATTAAAATCACTATCATAAGAAACGCTTCGATGCAAATCAGTAGATAGTGTTTAATTCTAAGAAATTGGTGGATAATTACAAAAGCTACATTATCTGCTAGTTTCTTATTAATACCCTGATTAAGATAAAGTATGTCGAATGAAAAAGGGATTATTAAAAAATATTATTTCTCATAAAAAAATTGTGTTGATTCGTACACTTTTCAATGAGTTATAGCATTATAAAGTTAAAAATGTAACCAACCCAACCCAACATCAACTCCTATTTCCTTAATTATATCCAGATTAGTAATTATTTTAATTATATATTATATAATTTTTATAATTAATTATTTTCAAATTATTATTGATTTTTAATATGTTAAAAGTAATCATTTTGAACCTACTTCTTTTTGTTCTTTAAAGTGAAAGTTTTAATAAAAAAAAAATGAATTTATTACCATAACTTTTAACTCAACTTGCAAGTTTGAAATAAATATTATTAAATAGAAAAAAAT